GGCTAATCGGTTCAAACAATGTCATGGGCCGCATCAAGAGCTACAATTTTTGTATTTGCGTTTTTCGTCTATCACACACACTGCTCGAGGAATTTGAAAAAATCCATATGAAAATCACTATTTCGGGGGCTGTCAAGGCGCCATGACGTCCTTTGATTATTACGGCACACTGCATGGTTTCAGAAAAATGTTGTTTTCTCAAAAAACATTTGCTATTTTAGAAAAATTCTTGGACTAGGAAACGTGACTATAAACTTCTTTTGCGGAATTTTTTCAAATATGTTCAGGGTGTGTCGATTATGGTAAAAAAAATCTAAAAGACCCTGAAAATTGCCATTTTAGTGGATATATTATTTAGCCGTAATTGAAAAACTATAACACATGGGATAATAATTTGGTTTAAACAGTCTTGAATATTGTATCGAGAGAGAGAGAGTTTCAAGTTTCGTCAACCATAAAGGGTGCGCGAGATACGTGGAATAATATAATTGGAAATCGTTATTTCTTGTAAAAAAAATTTGTATTTATCAAAGTTTGTTGTGACTTTGAACTTCGGCGATAAGTAAAAAACGCTTTATACAGGGTGCATGTACAATGAAATTACTTCGAATTTGCGCAAGTTCCATAGTGGTCCACAGGAGCACGATAGAAAAACGATGCGTCCCTTTACCATAACAAACCGCGAAGCTTTTTCTTAAAAAAAAAGCTGAGATTATTTTTCTCGATTTTTTCTCTTCGTGTTACCACCTAAGTTGAGATATTCCCTTGCAACAACAAAATCCGACTCCCCAATAGTGAGACCGTTGCTTAACGATCGAATTACCACATAATACAGTCTGCGTGATGGCCGGACCCGAATCCCATAGAGGCGCATTGTATCGCCAGAGTTATCTCGCAGCTTGGAAGTGTCCAATCACCGACCAAATTAATAAAAATTAATCTCGCATCCGATATCGCCAATAGCGATGAGGCGTTGTTTGCGAATTTCGCCGACTCATCAATTTATTGAATTCGCGGCGCCATATTTAATGATGGCCGATCGCCGATTTTTCGCGCGTCGAGATTGACGTTTGGCAGATTTCATTACCCGTATCTGATGCCGGTATGCCATTTTTTTTTTCAGGCGAATTCGTTTTCTTCTTTTGCAAAGCCGACTGATTGGTTTTCTGAAGACTTTCCGAGCTTAGTAGTCCCCATACCTTTTTTTTTTTTTGGTAAAAAGCTAGATTAGTTTGCAAATAATCTCCTCGAACATTGTGTAAGAAACCATTTGCTGTTGTGCATACTTTCAGGCTCTTATCCATCTAGAACTCTTTGAAATACCATCTTGAAAGTAGCGATGAAAATGTATTAAGCCTATTATTCTAATTTTATGAATACTTCTTTTTCTTCTTCTATCAGGATCTCCTTTGGAGGTTGCTCAAGGCAGGAACTCAAGTTTGCGTTTTCTAATGGTATTTCGAGTTCTTTGGCCATTCTTCCTAACACTTCCTAGTTTGTAGTTCTACTCATCCACGAGACTCTTAGTCTAAAGTCCACATTTGAAAAGCTTCCAACCTCCTTGTGGTTTCTGCATTCAGCGTCCAGCCTTCCAAGCCATAAAGCAACACGAGAAATACATAGCATTGGATCAATTGTTTTCCCGTCTACGATGAGCTGACCTGTCGCTTTCTTCCTTTTTGTTATCACCAGCATTTTAGTCTTCATGTTGAGACCGTAATCTTTGCTAGCTTTCACCACTTTGTTTACTATTCTCTGTAACTCCTCGAGAGAACCCGCACACAAAACAGTGTCGTCAGCGTACCTAATATTGTTAAATATTTTCCCAGCGAATTCGTCTTCCAATGTTTCTCTAAAAATGTTCTCCGAGTATTAAGATACACCCCTGTCTGACACCCTTCCGTATGCTGACCTCTTCGGAGAGAGCGTTATCTATTCTGACCTTAGCGGCTTGACCCCAGTACAGCTTTGATATGATCTGCACGTCGTGATAGTCGATGTTCAGTTTTTGTAGGATTTCCATTAGTTTTTCATGCCTGACATTATCAAACGCTTTACAAACCTCTGGGCAAGAACGTTAAAGGCGAAAATGGCCTCCCGAGTTCAAAGCAGATTCTTAGGAGTGTTTTCAGAACATGGCTCAGATTTATGAGTGGGTGGTGATCACATTTAGATGGTCGAGATTTTTTTGGGATTGGGACAAAAGTAGACAGAAGCCAAACATGAATACGGTGATCTCTTATTACTCTAGGGTCGGGGCAACATACAGCGTCGGACCTATCAGGATTGTGAAGAAGACTTTTGCTTTGTGTGCAGTATCCTTTCCTCTAAAATATGCATAAAACCTAAATTTAGAAATATATAAAACTCTTGAAGAGCCGATTTGAAGATTTTGAAGCTCGTGAGGAAGTTATTCTGCTATTGGTGGCCTTTTATTATAGCAGCATAAATAAGTGAACCATTAAATGAGGGAAGAAATTTTTTAGTAAAATGAGAAAATAAAAGTTTGCTTTTTTCTTGTCATATATTTTTAGCGTATTTTCGCCTTTTATTTAACGTTTGCCGCCATTTTTTAAAAAAATGAGTACTGACAGCGTAAAAAAGCCTAAAAAATGGTTGCTCGACGTGTTTCTGAAACCGAACCGATTGAAATATGCGGGAGCAAGGATCAACCAACTCCGTTTCCTTTCCCGCGCTCAACACCAGGCCGTAGTCATTAATATTATTATGGCCAGTCCGATCGAATTAGTCTGTGCGTTAATTTAAATGAATAATTCAATAATTAGGGTGTCATGATAATTGTGATCTGAGGCAAGGTCGATTTTTTACGCCGACGCGGCCTCCTATGGCTTCGCACGGGCCGGAAAACAGTCTCCAAATGTACGTGATCCGACCAACGGCGGAGGTGAGAAGGATACGGGGTGCGGGCCAAGAACCAATGACACTACGGGGTCGTTGGGTATTTTGTGATGTTTGGGATTTTTTTTACATAAGTTCTTCAAGGAAATTTTGATACAAAATTCAGCTCGCTGTCATTATTTTACCTACTATCTTGTCTAGAATAATACATATAGAGGGTGTCCTTTCCAAAATGATTTCTCATTGTGGTTAGAAGTAACACTTTCAATTTAATAATTTGCATCAAGACAGTGCCCCTGACAAGAAAAAAGCAAAAGGTGACTTAGACAGTTCAGGCGTTCGGCACCTGTATATATAAAAATATCCAAGTAAAGTAAAGTCATTTAATCTTTGTTCGAATAATTATAATTATAATATAATAATAATTATATTATAATTGTAATTATATTAATAATTCTTACTGACCGTCCAATCCCAAACAATGTACCAGATATTCTACTTACCTTCAAGGAGGAGAAAATAAACTACATTTTGGACATCGCTGTGCCTCTCGCCAACAACATAAGAAAAAAATACACAGAAAAAAAAATAATAACAAAAAATGGCCGACAAGGTGGTGGTGGTTCCAATAATACGAGGACTACCTTTTACATTTCGGGATTTGTAATAAAAAACGATAAAATACCAACAAATACGAATTTGTTGTTTCTCAAAATATTCACCCTGATGATCAATACTTTTGCATTCGATAAAACCACCATCAAGGCCCTTTGCCCACATCGAGTCGGCCACCTCCAAAACATGCTTTTTAAACGCATCAATTGCTTCTTCTGGTGTCAAAAATCGTTGTCCACGTGATTTATTAATTTATGGGAATAAAAAGGAGTAATTAGGTGCCAAATCAAGACTATATTGGGGACAACTCATCATTAATGCTCAAAAAGTTCTTTGTTTGCACTGATGAGATGGTGTCGAATGAAGTTCATCGATGTATTGTTGTTAAGTTAGTCCACGTCTAAAGTTGTAAAGTTTTAATTTATCGCAAAAAACACAAACAATACCCTTTCGCCAAAACCTAACTGAGTAAACCTAACCTCGAAATGTCAAACTTTCCTATAAAAACGTTAGTCGCCAGATGACAGGACTAGGCGAAGTCCCAAAAACTCTGCATGAAAGCTTGAAGAGATTAAATCTGGAACCCAAAATTTACTTGAAACTTCAAAAATCAGTTATATTAGACACATGCGGTATTGTGAGGAAGATCCTTGAAATGAATTACTAAAGCCATTTTCAATGCCATGAGAAAGCACGCCATGTGACAGCTTAAAGCACTAAGAAACCTGTGAAATTGTGAATAATAATAATAAAAAAATAATACAAATAATAAAAAGTAGTTTCAAATAACTCTGAACTCTATCTATCCCATATTAAACAGCGAACACAAAATTTATAAAACAATAAAATACATAAGAGAACCTAGCAAGAATATTTCTATCTAAATTTAGTATTAATATTGGTGTTAAAACTGAAAACACCTGAAGAATCTGGAGTCTACAAGTTGAAATGTGAATCTTGTCTCAAAATTTATATCGGACAAACTGGTAGAACATTTAAGAAACGCATTAACGAACATAAAAGGGCGTCTAAAAATAAAAGTTCGGATTCTAACTATGCCATTAATTTAAATTCAGAAATGCACAACTTTGACGATAATTTTGATGTTTTACATAATCATTCAAAAAGCAGAAAACTAAATTTGTTGGAAGGTATGGAGACGACAAAATGGGATATCGAATTTATTTCTTAATGACCAATTGGATTTAAATTCGTCTCCGTTGTTAAATTTAAATTTATAACTCTATACCTGTTAATTAGAAATCTATTACCACCTGTTTTTATATATAGGCGTCGGAATATAGTCATAATTTGTATTTGATAAAGGCACGGTGTCGCCGAAACAGCTCTCATAAATCATTAAAAACTGTGAAAATTTGAATATTTTTTGTCCTAATTTAATTTGTGTGAAATGGATTTCCATCAAGTAAAAACCACTTCAGTCCGGTTAATCAATACTATTTTATTCTACGGCCTGCGGCGGCATAGCGGGCCTCCGTAAAATTATTACGTAACGACAGTGCGAGTTTAGCGTCTCGCCGCGGTTAGTCGCGGTGCCGAATATTATTGAGAAACACTCGATTTCTCGCCGTACCGTTGAATAACGTTCGGGACGTTCAGTCGCGATCGGTTACGTCAAAATCCGAGCCTAACCTCAAAATATCCGTGCCGTTTTTGACGGAAAATAAACTTTTCGCGCCTCGATCGGCCTGAATCGGTAAGTGAGGCAAAATTTACTGCTAAAACGTACGTCGACTCTAGGCGCTTAACCCACAAAACCGTAGAGATTGTTTGGGACCGACGTTTTTACATAGGGGTTGGTTTTTTCGCGGCGGACGCAACGGCGCCGACCTATAGATTGTTTCCGTACTCTATTTATAGAGCTGGGAATGTAAACGCTGCAGATTCGATAACCTACGTGCACATAATTCCTCCATTTTGCACGTTTTTATGGTGGATCTAAACGATATCGTTCTATACATACGATTCGGAAACGTCCACATTCCTTAAACTTAATTGAAACGCCACAACCTTGAAGTGGGCAAGAACAATGGGCTGGGAATCGAAGTGCTCGCGCGTTACCCGGTGGTTCAACAAAATTTCCTCTAGGCCTGGGATGTATTGATGTAATCATCCATGGCTTGCAAAGAAACTCTGCATCTTATTATTAGGATTTTTTCGATCAAATTTGTAGCTACACAAGAGACAGCGTTTAATAAAAGGCATCGCTAGAGGAACCCCAAAAATATAACCCTATAGACAAAACAATGATAGTAATACAACAACAACAACAATAATAAATATAAAAATTTATACGCTCTGTTACGTTAGAAATGTATTGTCACCCCTTTTTTGGTGATGGGTTTCCCTCTCTACCAGTCCAATCTTCTAGGAGTATTATTTGGTGAAATTCAGGCCAATCGCGTAAGCAGAAGTTGCTTTTTAGTCAAAGTTTATCGCAATAATTTATGAGACAGAACATAACCAAAACTAACAGGATTTGCATTGCACTGGAAACAGCGGACGGGGTACCGCAGGGCTCTTTATCGGGGCCCGTACTATTTATTATTGACGAGTTTAAGAAGTATAATAGCAAAGCTCCCTAACAGGGAAAACTTCTAGAATGAGCCCCTAAGGGGGAGCTGATAAATAGGAAATATAAGAAAAGTTTGCCCGGAACTTCATTGCGAGCTCTGTTGCGATAAAGTCAAGCTTTGTAAAAAGAAGTAATCCGATCGCTACACCGACTCTCTTCACTTTCACTTCCCACATTAATTTCAAGCGATTCTGAGAATCAACAAATAATTTGTCATTCCCTTGCCCACGCATACTGATTCGTAACAAATTCATCAATATTCGTCAACATTGTATATCCGGATCTGGTTCCTGCATTTAACGGGAAGAACGTGTATGTGTGGGAGACCACTCGGTATAGTCCCAGTCGTCCGTTAAGTGATTTCAGTTCCTCGCAGTAATCTAACTAGAAACAGACAATAAAGTTCAATTATCGAAATGTAAACACTGATAAAACATGTGTTAATCATTTGCACAATATAATTCGTAACCGAACATTGGCACCAGATGTACAATGTTGCATGTTGATCGATCGTTTTCAGTTTCGCAATTTTCTTGGTTCGCCGTTGGGGCTTTTTGTGCGATAGCTTGGAAACTATTTTGTACCCGTATATGGGTCAAATCGATAGACCTGGATGATCCGACCGGCACGCGAGTGCATTGTGACGTAAATGGTTTATTGGTGTTTTTATCACACGGGAGGTGAAAAATAAAACACGAAACATGATTTTATCACACTAATAAAATATTGTCTACAAAAAAATCAACCAAACTTACTCCGTCCAATATCTAGAAATCGGTTGATATTGGGATAACCACTTTTTGTCTTGTTTGTTGGGCAATGTGCAAATGACATGACAACAATAATGTGTTGATATTTGTAATTTGAACCTATTGATGAGTACAGTGTCAATAATTAGTTTACTAATTTAAAAGATTTTATTCGAAAAATGGTTAAATAAAAGACAATACGTTGAATTTGATATAAATAGGTCGAACTTGGTTCGGAGTATATTTGTCCAATATAGCTTTTATTAATATTTTTGTATTTTAGATAGAAAAATAGATCTTTCTATAGTCATTTTTATGGTAAAGAAATGACCAAAAATTATTTTTTGTGATTTTACATATTAGGTAGATTTTAAATTTGTCCCCAATTTAATTTCTCGGAAGAATATATTTTTATTTGTAGAAGTTAGATGAGAAAATATATATTGTTATCTTTTAGTTTTCCTTTTGAAAATATAATTACTTGATTTGAAAAATATAATTATTTGATTTTATATGCATGTTTTACGCAAACAGAATAGAAAATAAATTTAGGATATTAAGGATAAAAGACGAAAGTATAGGGAAGTAAAAAAACTGAAAAGAAAAATTGACACGAGCGGAGGGCAGCGGAGCGAGTTTTTAATAAACCAGTGAGTTAAAAAGTTTACCGAACGTGTTGCATACTATACTTTTTCTGCGATCGTTAGTTTTTGGGCACATTTTCGCAAAACAACACAAATACATTCACCGACATGACCGTCAGACAAAATTCAAAGGGTGGAAAATATCTCCGAAAACATCCGATTGCTCCCAAATCCGTGCGGTAAAATGCCGGAAATGTCGGAAGTGGCTCGGATAAAAGCTATATATAAAAATTAAAAAACAAGAAAATATTACATTGAAACTATTTTACACTTAGAACTCTATACGCTAAGAAAAATTCGAAAAAAAAGTTCTTTCAATAATATCAGAGAAGGAACCAAAATTAGACTTTTATGGATACGTTGGTTGTAATTAATGTCCATCTCGGAAACGAAATCAAATAAAATCTGGTAGGACGTACAAATACTTTAATCAAACTTTCAATCTTGATTTTGGGAACGGTTGAAATTTTATTAATTATTTAGGACCCGGTATATTTACCTACAACTGGAAAATATATCCGGTTATTTCCAACAAGGACTTTGTATCGATTTTAGTCTCGTTCGTAGGTGTACTAGTTCAATTAGTGTTGTTTTTCGCTCAAATTCGTCGATAAAAACTGCGCGACCATCGGAAATAACGAGTAAGTCTATTTATAGGATCGCGTTTTATTGCCCCTCGAACGAACGACGTCTTATTAATTGCTCGACGTCACGTTTCAAAAGAAAGAAAGAAATCTCCCCATTTAAAACACAATTTAGCGTCCTATGCCGCCGGTGCGGCGCGAAACCAACCGACAACCGTAGGCAACCCGACGTGCAGCTGTCAGCGCGGTTGCCTACGGTCGAGCGTCCGCCGCTTTGATTTATTTCGACGCTGGGTTGGGACTGCGGGCAGGGCCGGCTTCAGGACGTTTGTAGGGATCACACACGTATACTGCGGACGCATAAGGCATAGCCATAATAATAATGGGCGATAGCATTGTATTTATTTTAACGTGATGCAAACATCCTGATGGACCGAGACAACGCGGAACAATATTTTTATAATAAATATACCGGGTGACACAACAAAGTGGGAACACTATAACTTTTAAACGGCTTGGGCTAGCGATTTAAAATTTGAAAGGGTTAATATAGGCCAAACGTCCAATTTTCAGACAATATGTAGTCAATAGTTGCAATTTTATTTTTAGTATCCAAACAAATTAACAACTTAAGGCGAGTTCTTACGATTGCGATGCTTAACTAGCTATTTCTTCATTATATTGTAAAATTGTTCCAAAAGCTACTTTGGTTTATATAATTCTATTCATAACCCTCTGGAACTTAATTTTCCGTAGTTTATATCACTTTCAGAAATCTTAGCAAATTGTTCATGTTTTGTCTCAAATTTAAAATTCATGGAATTCATGCACGCATTCTTGTGATTGACAGTGAGTGCGTTTTCCCGGTACTTTAGGGTTGATCTTTATTATCTAAACGAGTCATTTTATTTTACGACTTTTTAAATAAAAGTTCAATATTTCTTTAACTGGCATATATTTACAAGTTTTTGCAGAGTATCGGGGTGACAGGCCTTTTTCTCAAATTCAATATTGATACGTCATTTTGTAGCCCATTTGTTCTTGTGTTTTTAGTAAAATTGTTTTTATCTTTGATGAAAATCTGTTGGTATTCATTTGTACATGTTAATATTAATTCGTGTGAAAATAAAATGTTTTTTTATTATTCATTACATTTTAGTCCCCTTTTGGATTCCGTAGATTTTTTTTTACCCGTCCTGCCCTTCTGATATTTTCCCCGCTTTTCCTATTTGTACTTCCTTACTATATTTGTCCTTCTTTTAGCTCCTTTCAATGAAAATTAATTTCATTAATTAATAAGCCCCTTGAGGCCTAAATAGTAGATGTGCTTATGTAATTATATGTTATTATTATTTGTGGTAATGTTTCTTAATTGTTGTTTTTGATCATTTTCTATCGATTTTTTTTTACATTTTATCGACATTTATTCTATTTCCGTTTAGCAAAGTTGAGAACCCAACCAATAGGTTCATGAAAAATCTATGTCTTTGATTTCCCTTCAGCGTTCATTCATAATTTTGTTCTACCCTTCAATCAGTGCTGCTGTAGTTTTTCAAGCGGAACCTAATTGCCAAGTATTAACAACTTTTCCAAAATGTTAGGGGATAGCAATTAATTGCAGAGTAAGGGAGCCCCAATTCTAAAATAGGCGAAACTTGTGATATATTCGGCGCTCCAAAAATAACCGGCAAGCGTGTGTGTATGTGTGAGTGGGTCAATCGGAGCGTCTAATGTTCGATAACTGTAAAGAGAATCTAAAAAGAACAAGAATTAAATTTAATTGGATCTTTAATTGGATCTTCGACTTTGGATATGGAAAAAAGCGTCTTTTCGTATACCGTCCGCGTGTAAAATTATTCGGAATCGTGATGATATCTTTACCACATCAATCGCCGCACCGGCGCGGAATCTCGAAGCATTAACACGTGCGCAATATAATCAATTATAGAAATTGGTATTTACCTGATGATGTACCTTTCAGTGCTCGTCTTTGGGATTTACGGTGCGTGGGTACTTGGCGTTGGGTAAGGTCGCGCAAATTTTGGAAATATTGTAGGAAAAGAAAAGAACAGTGTACGTTTTTTATTAACTTTAGTAACGACAAAATTTGATTCATTTTTAAAACAGCACGCTAGGAAAAATCT